ACCACATATTAGAGAAACACTGGGATGGCTCAYGCCACCATGCCACCCCAAAATGCAGAAAATTACAGAAATAGCTACAGAACCAAGGCACGCCATAATTTAAATTTTGATCTTCTCCAGATCAAAACACATCATTCTGCAGCAGACAGAGATGAAAAAAAAAATGTATATAATAATTTGATTTTGGTTTAGTCCAAAGCTTACATATGGCTTTCTAATTAATATGAAGAGATACTACACTGAATTGAAGAAAGTCCATATAAGCTCAGTGTTACATACAGCACAAATAAACTTTTTGGCAAAGCCAAGTTCATTTTCCCTCTTCTATCTATCTCTCTGTATTGTTTTAAGAGTTCTCTGCAGTCAAAAGGTAAACAGAACTAATTAAAGAACAGTCTACCTTTTTCATATTGTAGAATCACAGAATATTCTGACTTGGAAGAGACCTGCATCGATCACTGAGTCCAACTGTTAAATGAATGGCGCATACAGGGACAGAATCCACAGCCTTGGCATTATCAGCACCATGCTCTAACCAACTGAGCTRATCTCTTATAATTATTGCTTGCGAGCAAACGAGAGCGTGGACTTGGAATAAACTTCAAACCTACCAATCACACCAAACTTTGCAGAAGTACGAAAACGTTTACAAATTTCAAGGCACAAAGTCCAAGCAAACCTTCTTCACAGAAAAGAGATTCAAAAAGCAAACACAGCATGATTAGCATGGCGTTTTTATATATATATATATACATACATATATTAAAATGTAATATTAAACTTATATTAAAATGTAATATTAAACTGACTCCACAACTATCCTCAGACTGGTCCAATTTTACCCGCTTTTGTAACAGTGTCACAAGGTCTAATCAACACTTCAATCAAGTTTGTCAACATACATCTGTCTAGCTATAAACTAAAAAAATCATTTTGACACTGAACCATCAAATATAATTCTTGCTGTTGTTTGGGGGATTTTTTTTCATTCAGCAGTGACTTAAAAAAAAAACATTCTGTTGAAGCAAGAACACTGTCTAAAGTTCAGTTGTTGAAGACAGGGTAAGGTTACATGGAACTTTTYCCAATGACGAACAATGTTGACAGTGTCCTCAGTACTACAGTGCAAAAACATTTCTCYTTTCTAGTGTAAGCATGAATTTAATTTAAAAAAAAAAAACTAAATTCTTTTTTACTGCATAGGAAATGTAGTCATTCCACACTTTCACGACTCAAAATTGCAATTACAGATACAGCACAGCACAACTTGAACAAAGTAAAGGAAAAGCCACAACCTGGCTGCTCATCACTTTACTTAACATCTCACTYTGAAACAGCGTGTTTATTACATTTTCCTCTTAACAGGAAAAGTGAGCATGCTTGTGTTTGCAGCTCCTCCTCTTTCAAAGACGCACAGCTGCAGCTGTAGTAAACAACCACTAGTCAGGAGCTAAGAAGGTCAAAGTCTGGGTGCTGCATCCATTTCAGCTTTTCTAAAAACAAAATTCCTATTTCAGGAAATTAATTTCTTTACTCATTTTGTAGTTATGTCAAGGAAAGGGAAACCACAATCATTCTCCAATCACGTAAATCAAGATACAGTATTTCAAAAGCCACAAGCAAGACACTTCAGTAAGAATAAGTGTTTCCATATCTCCATCTTTATTAATAAATGAACACATCATTCACACCTTCCTATTTTACTTGATTCAAACTAAGACTTGGTCAAACCATTGTACTGTTGAGACCTGTTCCAAAAAGCAGACAACACTTACTGAAGAAGGGACATGGAAGGAAGCTGGCCACCCACAGAAGTGGTGCCAGCAGCCATGCAAGGCTCACACAGGTCATCCAAGCAGCCTGAAGCAAGGAGRCCACAGTTTGGGAATGCTTGAGTAAGTGGACATCACGCACCCATCCATGAGAAAAGGCACACAACTTTCCATTATTTTACAGACTATCCAAAATCTAAGCAATGGGATAGCCTATCAGCACTGAAAACACACCAAGGACCTTCTGCAAATCCYGTGTGGCAGAGAGCTCCCCAAGCACCCAGGAAAGGCATTGCCCATTTTCCTCTAACACATGGTCTGTATTTCTATGTAACTGGTGGTTACCACCACACACCACCTTGGTCTAGGGAAAGAGGGTAACAGGGTTCTCACTACTACAGGRTTCTGCAGGCCAACCTCTTTGCTGACCCCATTCTAACATCTCCMAGGGGAAGAGTATTCCAGCCCCACATTTCTGCCTCCTCTCATCTGGAGTGAAACTCTGCTCGTGCATGTTCAGGTCTGGCTGATCCTGACAGAAACAGCTGGCAGAGGACTCCATGATTAGCCCATCCTGGAATCTTAAAGTTTATTTTTAAAAGTTGTTACACAGAATCTTCTTGGGCTCTCAGGGGCCTTTCCAGAAAAGGTTTTTCTACAAGAAAGCAAAAAAAGGCCTGGAAACATTATCATGAACTATTGCTGGGGGAAAAAAAACTGAATTAAAAATACATCATTTCCCATCCCCCTATTTATACATCTGAYACTGCCTGATTATCAGAAGCAGGAAACAAACCGTATCTCCCATATCCTAAACTCCTTCCCAGCCCATCCAGCATAGGTGCATTCACTCATCAAATTACCTACAGCACACATCTTTGTAAAAAACCTTTTTTCCCCATAGAAAAGGTGCTCCTCAGACTGCCCCCCTCCTCCCAGTTCTGCTCCTCAGACTGCCCCCCTCCTCCCAGTTCCACGTACCAGACACAGTTAAAAAAAAAAAAAAAAAAAAGTGGGGAAAAAATACCAAAAGGAGGAAAAAAAAATAAAAAGAGGAAAACGCCACCACTGTTCTGGAGGCAGTGGGGGTGAGCGGGTGGGGGTGCTGGCCCGGGGAGGGGCGCGCATGGGTGTCACTGAGAAGGTGATGTCATCCACCAGCCTCCAGCCCGGGCACCTGCCAGCAGCAGCGTAGCAGCGGCTGCCAAAGCCTCCGGCAGCACGGGAAGGGGAAAAAAATAAAAAGACACCAAAAAAAAAAGGGAAAAAAAAAATCCGCAATGTTTCCCTTCGCTATGCGCGGTCGGTTTGTGACGATAGGTGACATACCAGCTTGCAGACAGCAGTTTCAAATTGATTACGTCCCATAAGAAAAATACTCAAGACACTCCCCCTCCCCCAGCACGAATATTAAAAAAAAAAAAAAAAAWGCAGACTCGGTTTATGCAGCCTTACGTCACTAATAAAATGCTCCTATCGCCCCATCTGTGACCTATTCAGCACAGTTACTAATCCCACGCTGTGACCACTTTGCTGTTCCTGTGCATTTCAGAGTTGTAGACCAACCAGAGAGCAGAAAATGGAGCCCATATGCCAGCGCTATATAAAGCAGCCGCGCAAAGTTGCCGCGAATAATCTACCTGCCGTGGCGAGACGAAAAGTGAAAAGCAAATAAACCAAAAAAACGGTGGGGGAGGGAGGGGGAAAAGTACCATTWATTTAATGATGGATAATTAAAAAAATAAACTAGTTTACTGTCTTACTCAGGGAGAGAGGGGCTGCCAAGAGCTAGTAAGATTTTACAAGCTCTATACAGACCCCGATCAAGTGAACTTCTCTTCAGTGTTTCCTACCGAAACGGCTCGTATCTCCTCAAGCGCATAAAACATCTTATTTCCCACACAAGCCCATTTGCGAGACTGAATGCCACGCCAAGATCCGRAAAAAAAAAATAAAATAAATATAACCCACTCCAAAAACCGCTGTCTGGATCGGAGCATCGCATCCCTGCAAACCACGGGGTGGAGAATATAAAATAACCCGTCTGGTTGCTCCCGTCCGCCTCCCCCAAAATCCCATCACCATTGGTGGTGCAGGATTTTGGGGGAGGCGGATAAGAGCCCACATCTCATCCCAGAAGAAATTTCATCCCAGCAGCGGAAAGCTTTTGAGGGCTTCACAGGGTGACGCCGATGCCATGGGATAGCCCATCTCCGCAGCCGCTCTGGGCAGACGCTTTAAATGTAAATACCAGCGGTTTGTTCCCCAAGCTCCCGACTTCTGCAAGAGCGAGCATTTGTTTCACAGAAGGTAATTATTTTTGTTGAAGGTAATACAGCACTATACTCTTGGTCTTTATGCTTTCCCCACTGCGTGTTATATCCCGGCTTTTCCTCCCATAGAGCGTTACACTCCGATTTCCCCCTCCACAGAGCGCTACACTTTATACTCTTTTTTCATGTTTGTCTTTACATATTAATTGCCCAGCCCCGAATGCGCAGGGGGGCCGCCCGCCCCCACCCACACCCCCCCCGGGGACGGCAGCACAAAGGGCTGGGCGCTCCCAGCTCGCCGCTCATCACTCCCCGCTTATCGCTTTTTATTTTTTCCCCCGCTCTTTTCACCGCCACCCCCACCCCTTTTTTCCCCCTTCCTAAAGCCTCAGCGGGAAAGTTGAGGGAAAAGTTCGGGCCGGCCCCTAGCACCCTACCCCGGTATCGCTGCCGCCGGGGCACCGGGAGGGATGGAGGCAGGAGGGAGGAGGGGATGGATGGAGCCGGGGGAGGGAGCGGGGGAGGGAGGGCATCGCCGTTAACCCCCGGCTCTCCCCCGGCGCCGGGGGAAGCGGGGGGAGGCGCCCTGCCCCCCCCCTCCTTTTCTTTAAAATTATTTAACTTCAGCATAGGAGAGATTTTTTTGTTTGTTTGTTTTTTTAAATAGAGAGCTGTCTGGGACAGCAGCAGCAAAACCCACACACGTTAGCCGTTTAGCCTGGTAAGAAAGGGAATCGGCACAGACCTGAGCAGAAGCGGCAGAGCAGGAGAAGAAACTGTTTCCTTCCCTGACACAGGGTCCCCGCTCTCTGTCTGTCTGTCCGCCCGCCCCGCGCTCCCCGGGCAGTGCCCCGCGCACCCGCACCCCGCACCGGCGGAGGCAGCCGGCGGCCGTCCCCGGGAAATGAATGGGGGCAGCCCGGGGAGCCGCGGCGCTCGCTCGCCGCCGACTTACCCGCGTCACATGATGAGCCCGGGCAGGGTGGGCCGGGGGTGGAGGCTCCCGGCGCCGCCTCGCCGCGCCTCGCGTGGGGCCGCCGCGACACCCCGCCGGCCGCTCAGACAAAGGGTCCGGACCGGCGTCCCCCTCCCCAGCTCCCGGCCCCTGCTCCGGCCACGGCGGGCGCCGGTGGCGTCGCTGGCATGCGGCGCGTCCCCGCCCCCACCGGCAGCCGGGCGGAG